ACAGGATCCTGTGAGAGTGCTTTGCTCCATTTTTCAGGATGGTCAGTCTATCAAAAGTTTTTGACTTGCTGTCATCTAGCACCATTAGATGACGCCCAGCTTATGGACCTTTTTTGAAGCGGGTTGGATGGGAACATCGGTAACACTTTATAATAACTCCACACTAATAATCACTATTTAAGCATTAGTAAACAGTTAATTCGTAATTTATAAAGCTTTAACAGGCATTAATAAGAAATACAGCTATAATTGCTCTTTTTCTTGATTTATAAGCATATCTAATGCGTTTAATAATTGTATTTTCATACTTTGTTAATGATCAATTAATCATTTCTAAATGAAGTATAGCATTATTTACAAAGCAGTTATTTAAGAGTTGTCAGTCATTCATAAGATCACTTAGAAAGTGTAAGTAAATGTAGTAAATACAGGTAGTTATAAAGCGTTTAGTAGTGGTCAGTTTTTTTTGTGAGCTCAGGACTATTCATGCCTTGTAAAGCATTTATAAAGGAGATTTAAAGGTGCATCAATCTTCTAAACAGTAAAATGTAACAACACAACACTGTGATACAGAACATAGAAATATTTAACAGCCTTTAAATCTCCTTTATAAATGATTTAAGGCATGAGTAGTCCTCACTTTAGATGAGCTCACAAATATAGTTAACTGAGCACTACTAAATGCTTTATAACTACCCAAATTAACCCTGAATTACAGCATAAATATGTGTTAATAAAGCATTTATTAACTAACACACTCAGTAACCATCACTAAATGTCTCAATAATAAGACGTGTAAATGTACATTTAAATAGTTTATTAGTCATTTACTTACACGCTCTAGGTAATCTTATGAACCACTGACAACTCTTAAATAACTGGTTTATAAAAAATGCAATTCTTCATTTAGAAATGATAAATTGATCATTAATAAAGTATGAAAATACAATTATTAAACAAATTGTAGATATGCTTTTAAATCAAGATGAAAGCATTTATAGCTGTATTTATAAACTGCTTATTAATGTCTATTAATGCTTTATGAATGATGAATTAACGGTTTACTCGTGCTTAACTAATGATTATTAGCGTGCAGTTATTAAAGTGTTACCGGAACATCGCCTTAATGATGCTGGAGGATAATACTGGACCCTGGACCAATATATAGATCTGGCTCTGCGGTTGTGTGGATCTTCCTTCACCATGGGCAAAGTTGAGGAGGATCCCATCCACCCTTAAAACTTTTTTGGGGGGAGGCTATTCAGCCAGACCGCACCAAGCCACGCCCCCTCCACTCACTCGGACAAACAGTCGACATTCGATGACAAGCTCTATGGCATCTTTCACAGTTGGAGACATTTCACAGACAAGACAATTGATGATTTTTGGAGACACAAAGATTATATATCATCTCAAAGTTACCAATAGGGCCTTAACTATGCATTGGAGGGTTATATTAATAATTTTATTGTTGAGAAGGTTGATGAAAAGCTTCAGCTCCAGGCAAAAATTTACAGGTCACAGTATAATTGTGATTAAACCGCATCTCGACTCGTTGATCACCATCTCAGACAAGATAGAGGATCAGCACTTTTCATGCACTGCAATATTTACATGAATCATTCAGCACAACATTTCTAACATTTGTTATCTCGGTTATTTACAGATACGTTAATGAAGTGACATGATGTGCAATGCAGCTAGAAGCTAATGTTAACATTTTCTAATGTTAAGGTAACGTTACGTTAAAGATGTTAAAGATACCGTTCAAATATGTTGTTGACTTAGAACAGATGTAGACATTTTTGTTTAATTCTTGTTTAATTTATCCATGTTTAGTTGGTGTTGTGGTCTTCCGTATTACTTAATCCAGAGAAGACACTTATCTCGGTTGAGAAAGGGTAAAAAAAAACACACCGTTGCCCAGCCTCTTGGGATAGTGTTGGAGTTGCAAGTACCCCATGCTCACCATTTGACCATTTTAAACTTAAAATGACAAGAAAAAATATATAAAAACGAATGAAAACTCACTGACTACAATGCATTTCAATGGACGTGAAAGCAGAGAATATCCGAGTGTATTGGGTTAGCTATGCGCACTGTGATTGGCTCATTGCGTTTGGGGGCGTGGCTTAGCCAGAGGTCAATTGCATCCACTGGACCCGTCCGAGGGTGGAGAGGATTGGCGTCCAAGCTGACCGATCCACAACTGACATCTGTCCGATCAGCTGCTATTCCGAGATTTTCACTGGTCTCAAATCCCCAGTCTGCCGAAGCAGAGACTGTTCACGTCACGTCTGCCCATGTCACATCTGCCGAGGCTGAGACTGTTCACGTCACGTCTGCCGAGCCAGAGACTGTTCACGTCATGCCTATCGAGCCAGAGACTGTTCACGTCATGGCTGCCCAGTTAGAGACTGTTCACGTCATGTCTGCTTTGCTGGCCATTATGGACACAGCCATGTGGTGTGTGTGTGGGCTCCTGCCAGAGCCGGTGTCTCCGGACAAGATGGCCGCCCCTAAGCCGGTGTCTGTTCCTGAGCCGGTGTTCGTGTTCCGCCCCCTGAACTGCGTGCTCCGCCCTGGTCCCCTGAACTGTCTGCTCCGCCTTGGTTGACTGCACTGCTGGCGCCGCCTATGCTCCACAGCCAGCCGCCACCCACGTTCCAAAGCCCAGGTCCACCCATGCTCCACGACCCAGGTCCGCCGTTACCATATCCTGGTTCCGTTCCTCCTGGCCCCAAATAGACACTGAAGCTGCGGCTAAAATTGGTAACTTGTTCACACATTTACTATTTTCTACTAAGTAAATGGCTCATAGTACACTACAACAATTCAGACCATGCAAATATACTTTCCATTGGGGTGAATTAAGTCTAACGATTTCACGTTAGTGTCATGCAAACTGCCACGGCCCGCACAGTCTGCTCCGGTCCAGAGACACGATAGCACAAAGCAGATCATATGCGTGAGTCGGCACAGAAGACAAAACGTATCAGACCCATCTGAATTCTGCCCAGAATGCTATATTTTAAAGCTATATAAAGGAGCTTTGGAGGTGAAAACGGTTAGAGATTAGGAGGAAACTGTGACTTTACCGAGTTCAACGGCTCTGGCCGAGCTGTAATATAAACGAAACACTATTGGCTATTTAAAAAAGGAGAGTAGCTGTTGTGTCCCACCCTGTCTTTTGAGCATTTAACATAGGCCTAGTCATTGTTATTTCTAGATAGAAAATTGTCTTTCTGGCCAAAGAACATTTTAGAGTGTCTATCACTTTCGATACGTACGACAGGAGAAGGATGCAAGTGCAAAGCTCTTTATTAGAGATAATAATATTAAATGTCAGAATGACAAAGGGTCCACAGCTGATGATGGTGGGTCGAGCGGTAGCCAGTGCTGATGGTCAGTGACACAGGGACCTCAGTGAACAACCAGTGCAGTGCTCCCAATCCAGAGGTGATGATCCGTGCGTGAAGTAATCCGTGGTAGTGCCAAGAAACTCGAGGAAGAACGGAGACGAACAGGGAATCCACCGGGAAGAACAAACACACTCAGGAACCCACCGGGAAGAACAAACACACTCAGGAACCCACCGGGAAGAACAACGATCTGACAACATGAGACACCAGTTACTGAACATATAAAGGGTAAAACAGATTGAAGCCAGCTGGCACAGCTGATCATTGCTGATCAGTGACCACGCCCCCAATTACCCACACACACATACATAACAGCACACAAGACGAGAGAGAGACAATGGATTCATATACCGTGACAACTTTAAAATTAGAATTTTCAAAATCACAAAGATAATAATATAAACAGTTTTATAAAACTGTTAGTTCCATTAACAAGAGCAATCTATCTTCAAATCAAATGTAATACGTGCAAAAAATTGTTCTGGTGACATTTTATAATTCACACGTTCAAGAATAATGCAATAATAATGCTGTGTGATGCATTTTCTCTTCGTTAGGGGCTATGAATTATAGCTATGAAATATAGCTGTGAATTAAGCAGAGCTAAGAAGTATGCAACTCACCCGTGTCCTGAACTGCGCCCAAAGCTCCAGACATGATGGTGAGATTTATTATGGGATGGGCATCATGCACATGGGCATAGTCACATATGATTCACCCATGTATGACAAGTGCCCACTTTAACGATGGGGTTGAGTTTATACATACAGCGCTGGAAGAGGGAGGTAAGTGGTTGTGTGTACAAAACCTAACCCAGTCTGCCTTAGAAGAAATAAGCAGCTACCTATATTTTTCAGTCAAAGGCAAAATCCTGGTTCACTGTCAAGTTGGAGTGAGTCGGTCTGCAACTAGTTTTGGCATATCTCATGCTAAAACAAAACATGACGCTGACAGAGGCAATCAAGAAGGTGAAAGAAAGAAGAGGCATCTACCCTAACCCAGGCTTCCTCAGACAACTGATGAACATTCACATTAAATTATATGGTTAAGACGCACTATCACCATTAGTTAAAATGAAAATTGAGGGGAGAGAAGAAATATGGAGCAATGTAGGTTTTGTACGGGTCTTTAAAATAAAGTTTAAATGAGCGTATTAAAATTAACACACCTGACAACCTTATCTTTAGCTTTTTTTTTTAATAGATCAAAAAACTAATATTCAACATATGAACGATTGTGCATAAAAAAAGAGAAAACCATCTACATAATATAGATGGTAACACTTTACAATAAGGTCTCATCCCAAATACAACTTTTGATTTCAATAATGTATTAGTAAATGTTGAAGTTAACATTAATTAAGATAAGAAGTAACTTAAGCAACCTTATTGTAAAGTGTTACCAAATAAATATATAAAAATCAAATAAATACAATGTAGAGCTCACAAACGTTTTTATATTTTTTTTTGTTTTGTTTTTTCAAAGAGTCTCTTTTACTGTGTGTAGGCCTACAGCCTTTATTCAGTCAACTAAACCACAAAGTTGGGTTTTTAATTAGTAAACTTGCATGTATAAATGTGAAATTTATTTATAAGTTAAAAAATAAAAGTAGATTAATTAAATATGCAGTGACGCCAAAAAGAACACTATGCCATAAAAGTGATCATAGAGGTCTTGAATATCGAATATTTTCAGTGATACATGTGTAGGGCTATAGTGTAGTAGGGCCGAGTAGGGCCTATTTCTCTTGTTGAAGGAATTACGGAGTTTACGTTACGACTTGAAGAGCGATGCGTTAATTCCGTAGTTACCATAGCAAACTAACTAGGCTATACAAGGGGGGAAAGCAGAGGACGTTATTATAACCAGCGAATAAGGTAATATCATCCTTAACGCTTCTGATTTTGAACATGCAAATAAATTAGGAATACTAGTTTTACATTTTGAATATATAATGACATGATGAACCCTTAAAAATCCTGCAATCTTGAGTCGGCCATTAAAACAAATAACTTTTTGACATTATAAACACATTTAAAGAAATCGCATTTGAATCACCCTGTCGACGAAGATGGCAAGTCCGCAAACAACCGAACAGCCCCCGCCGCATATTGACCCGACACAAGCGCCGGTCGCTTTCGGGAACTGGGCGCTTCCAAAGCTGATCATGGAACTGCAAGACGTCAAGCTGTTTACCCGGCAGAGGGCGCTCGCTGCTCTCTGCGAACTCGTCCATGACAGCGAGCGCGCATATGAAGCCATTCTCAGTGGTAAACACATCTTTAATAACCCTTTTGTCCATAAAAAATAAAATTATATTGAAGGGAACATTATAATTATAAATTTGTGCATTTATTCAATCTTTTTGAAGATATCACACACTTTTTTTATGCCCCGTTGTATATCAACCATAACATTTCTTGATAGGATGTATGGAAAGACTCAAGGTTTTGCTGCAAGATGAGGATAACTTAGTCAGGGTCAAAACTACTGAAGTGCTTTATGTGCTTGCTTCACACAGCTTGGGAAGGTGAGTCATACAAGAGTCCGTGGGCATATTTTTCTTGTGTTGTAGTTTGTGTAAGCTTTTGGCATGTGAATGTGCTTGGCCGTGTAGTAGCCTATGTGTTTTTTTTTATATAAATTAAAATAAATATATATATTATATTTTCTATGTTGTGAGTGACAGAGTAAGTGGATCCTTAACAGGATTCAACGACAGTGACTAATATTTATTTAGGTATATTATATTATATGTAGAATATTTATCATTTAATTAGATGTTAGGTCTTTACATCATTTGTACAAAAATAAATTATGTAAACGTATAACTAGTTTACAGCTAAAATGTCATTAAACTACCTTTTAAAAGTTTGGATCACAAAGGTACTATTTAAAGATACTTTTAATACTTTTATTCAACAAGGACACATTGAATTGATAAATTGACTGTAAATTTAAATTAAATTGAAACTAAAAACAGAATATTACAAAAATAAATATATTTGAAATAAGTGTTGTTCTTTTGAGCTTTCTGTTCATCAATCCTGAAACTTTATTCATTATTATCATGGTTTCCACAAAAATATTAATCAGCACAACTGTACTAAATAAGCATTTTAGAATAATGTAGCGAGTAGTGATATTGAAAATTCAGCTTTGCATCACAAGAATATATTATAATTGAAATACTTTATTATATACGTTATTTTAAATTGTAAAAAAAAAAAAAAACACTTCAAAATATTACTGCATTTACTGCATTTTTTATCAAATAAATGCAGTGTTGGTGAGCAGAAGAGACTTCTTCAAAAACATCTGACATAAGCACACTTTTGCAGCCAAAAAAAAAAAAAAAATGTGACTATGCTCTTGATGGTTTAATAATAAAATATCAAGAAAGGATTGTATTTCCAATAATAGGATATTTTATTGTCCAACACTTTTTGAATATTTAATATCACAAGAATGGATGTGAATGGCTTTAAAATGCAACTGAAATACTTGCAACACAAGTCATTTTGGCAAGTTTGACTAAATGTAATTGTGTTCACACAGAGATGCCTTTTTAAAATTTGACATTGTGGGTCCCCTTGCAAACCTGTTAGAGGACCCTGACAATGCCTGTCGTAAAAATGTGCACCAGGCACTCAATAGGATCGCTGAATTTCCCTCAGGTGACTATTGTTTCTTATACTTTTGTTTCACAGTCAATTTATTGCCGAAGCTTTTGATTTTAAGAGTCCTCTGTTATATCCTCTACAGGAGCAGTATTTATGGTGTGTATGGGGCTGGTGCCCAGATTGGTGCTGAAGGTCTCAGATGAAGAAGAGAACATCCGTGCTTTAATTCTCTCCACATTAAGCTCCTGTGTGAGTGTGAATGCCCTGCCTGCACTGGAGAGTGATGTGATCCCGGTCCTGAAAGATCAGCTGTCTCACCCGTCCCCCGCCATCCGCCAGGCAGCCACATCTGCCTTAATGGGAATCAGGTAGGCAGCATGGCACCCAACAATCTAGTTTGGGTTAAGTTCACTAAAAGGTAAAAAAAGAAACCCTGGAATATCTCTCCTGTTCTCAGTGTGCCTGCAGATGGGAAGATGAAGGTGTGTGAGGAGGATCTTCTGACCATGTTGGTCAAGTTGTTGTCAGATGAGGACCAAGGGGTTGTCGCTAATGCTGCAGGGACGATTATGTACACAGCTGTTATCACTAAGGGTCAGCACAAATTCAACTCTGTGGATGTTTGTAATTTTTTGGTCAATCAATGAATGAAGTTAGTTAGAAACACTTTAACATCTGTTATAGACACTTAACACTTAAGTAGGGATAATTCACCCAAAAATGAAAATTCTGTAATAATCTATTCACCATCATGTTGCCCCAAACCTCTTTGAGTTTGTTCTTTATTCTGTGGAATGTTAATATAGATTTAAAAAAAATGACTTTTAAATGTTTTAAAGTAAATGATAACAGATATTTCATTTTTAGGTGAATCATTCATTTAAAACCTCTGGTGTTGATGTTATTTATGCACATATTTTAGATCAGGGGTTTTCACACTCTTTGAGAAAAAGGTGCAACACTCACTACAAACATAACCGACGTAATTTCTTTAAACCAATATAGTTTCGGCCAACTTAAAGGTCTTCATTAGATATCAAATATTTCTCAGGCAAACAGAATTTTAAAAGAACCTTTACAAAGGCAACAGGTAGTGGCTTTCAAATAAGATTAACAACCAATAGCAAAAATACATAGTGAAAACAATGTATCTACTGTACACTCTCAGGAAAAAAGGTACAAAAGCTGTCACTTGGACAGTACCCTTCAAAAGGGTTTTAATGGCACTTTTCCACTGCTGGTACGGCTCAGTACGGTTCGGCTCGGCGCGGCACGGTTTGGCTCGCTTCGCTTTTCCACTGTGTGGTACGACTCGGCTCGACATGGCACGGCTCGGTTCGCTTTAGCTCGGTTGCTTTTCCACTGCAGTTAGTACCGCTTTAAAGTGGGTGGGATTATAGACTGATCGATAACAGCGGTGGCTGTTACTGGCTATTTAAATCTAGCAGGTTTGGTTTCTCATGTTGATGTCTATTTGTCGCAGATACAATGACGCTGGTACTGACGATTCTGTCTGACCAATCAGTGATCTGCAGTATTTCACGTCACATTTAGTACCGGTACGGTACGCTTGGAACCTCAACAGACCAGGTACCATTTAAAGCGAGCCAAAGCGAGCCGTACCAAGCCGAGCCATACCGAACCATGCAGTGGAAAAGCACCAAAGTGTGCAGTGGAAAAGCGCCATAATATGTACCATTTAGGTAATAATATGTACACTTTTGTTACCAATTCAGCTTTGGCTAAGCCACGCCCTAGAATGTAAATTGACCAATCACAGCGCAGCCAAGAACGAGCTCCCACAAAGGTCCGACACTTTTTCACAGCGTTCCATTGACTTTCAACTCAGGCGTTTCATATTTTTGGTCTCGACAGGCTATTACCGTCGTAGTTTTATCAAAAATATGGTTAAACGTTGTGACTCGGGCATTTTCAACACAGATATGCGTTTCCCAGAGAGGTTGGAGGGGGGTGTCCGTTTTTTCCCTTCCCAAAACCGAAGTCAAATCCTGACAAGTGTCGTCTTTGGATTAAACTGTATGGATGTCCACAGTCAGCTAAACCCCTCAAACATCAACAAGCACATCTTTTTTGCTTCTAACCTTACTGTAAAGTTATACTAGTTAGACCGTTTTATAATGTTTTAGGTTATGATTTCGGTTCTCATACCGGTTGTTGATATGCTAGCACACGCTTCTAATAAATACAATGTTATACTCGTGTAGTCCGTTTGCTTTGTAATAACAATTATAGAAGTGAATAGAGACCTACCCAGCTTTGCATGAACAGTGTTGCTCCCTGATATTGTTAGTCCCAGCCTCCGTCTCGATTAGGATATAAATGCAGTGGTTCATTTTTTGACTGTGACTGGTAACGTCATGCTTTTGCCTCTAGCCTATTTGGATGCCTTGTTGTTTCTTGCATTTCACATGTCTTGAAAATAGCCTTCGAACGCATATATCAGCCCCTCTTGCCTACTTCTATCGGACACTTTATTTGCTGCTTCATAGAAGTTTGATAACATTTCAGCGGGAAGAGCTGTTACAGCATAAGCTATGCAGAGCGCAGATGAAGTTTGACGGATGTAGCAACATTTACTAAGGGGGGCGGGGCTTAGCCAAAGGTGAATTAGTACCTAATTAGTACATAGTGTACTATGTACTAATTAGTACATTAGTACACAGTGTTGTAGTCGAGACCAGCTCACTCGAGTCGAGCCGAGTCCAAGTCGAGACCGAGACCAGAGAGGTTGGATAACCTAAGGTTGGGTCTCAAACCAGACTTAAAGATATCTTCAAGAATATGTAAAATATTTGGTGGTAACAATAAAATTGGCACCATACTCAAACAGTAAACCAAATATACCATGGAATCATGTACACTGTAATGGTAAAAAGCCCATATAGTGGTGTAAAGGCAATTTTATTATAAATATGACTTACAATTATTACAATCAATAAGTGCTCTTTCACATAACATTACTGCACACAAATTCTGTGTGGCTCTTATATGCAAACTGAATTAGGGATGATAAGGCAGACATTTTCAATACATAGTTGAGCTAGAGGCTCCACATCACATCTGACCTGGTTCCTGCTGCATTTGCGTGCCGCGAAACATTATAGTCTCAAGTCATGCGCAGTTGCGCACAAGAAAGTCAGCAATCATTGGACGTTTCAATTAAACAACAATTTAAAGAAATATTAACAAACAGTAATAATCATGACATATTTTGAATGGGACTCGAGTGGACTCTGGAGTAGCTAAGTCAGAGTCCCAACTCCCAATATGCTCGAGTACGAGTCAATTCCGAGTCAAAATGCACACAAGTCCATGACAAGACCGAGTCCATTAAAATATGGTCTCGAGACCGAGTCCGAGTCTCGAGTGCACGACACTAGTACATAGTACACCAATACCCTTTTAGGGACTAAAATGCACACTTTAAGGTGTACCTTCTGAAAAGATACCACCACAGTGACAGCTTTTGTACCTTTTTTTCTGAGACTGAAAATTTTCTATAGAATGATTTTCTATTGAAAATCAGAAAAGTTTACCTAGACCTGTCTCAAACTGATGCTCTATTACATAGCTTTTTTCTACTCCCCATCAAAGTAAATTTAGATCATGAACCCAAGAAGAAACAGTGTTTAATATTGAATAAAATAATTATAATTTCAAAGAAATTCTAGAAGCAGTGGGAATATCAAATGTTGTTAGGTTTTTTTTGTTATCATTTTTGAATGTATTTTTACACTATTTTTTCCCCTCTGTATTAGATTAAACATGCAAGATCTTATTTTCTGCCTGTTTATAGGTAAATACGAAGCACTGGACGCAGGTGCCATCGCCCCTCTGATGCGGCTGGTGGTCAGTGAGAATATAGCAGTGTGTGCCAATGCCCTCCGTGCCCTTACAGTCCTAGCAGAGGTTCCTAGGGCCCGGGCACAGATGCTGGAGCATGTGCCTCTGCTGAAGTCTAGACTCACACACCCTAATTCCATCATCCAGAGAGCTGCCTCCACTGCCATTGAAGTCATTTCCTGGAAACCATGAGGAAGAGTTCTCCTGATAAGATATAAATAAAACTAAATGAGTAACCACTTAAAACACACTAATTTAAGAAAATGTCATGAGTATTAATTTAAAAGAACAGAATAAAAATAATAATGAAGAATTCTGAAGGATGTCACGTTTATGTTTGTTCAAAGTGCAAACACTTTTTATAGATAAGCTGCACAGCAAATATTTTAATTTGCGTGTGTAACTGAAATGCTTGTATCGGAAGGCCTATGTAATATTGTTTTGGTGTGGTTTAATCCCAGTGTAGTGCAATTGTGCAGTGTCATGTTTTCCGAATACCCCTCGGTGCGGCGAATGGATTGAACCAGCGGTCAACGGCAGCGAGCACGTTCTCGCTATCTGTCACGCGACATGCGGAGTCACGACAGATAAATATTGGTGGCTGGTTGTTGGCATCCAACCAGTCCGAGTCAATACAGGGTACGCGCCTGCTCCGTTCTAGAAAGTCATATTTATTTTGTAGAATTAAACTGGAGGATTAGATCGCAGGGAGAAGTGCGGGGTGCAGGCTGTATATTTTTTGGATCACATTTGCTGGATAGGTAAGTTTATACTTTACACATAGCCTACTAGTGTCTTATTGAATACATTCTAGTAAAATTTGTTTGGTCAGCGCAAGAAATTCTGCGTGATTGAACCGCGATTCCGCCACGAGTGCCGGTCTGTTACTATTGCATATCTATACAATTTCATATGTTAGGCTACTTAAAATCGAACAGTAATATTAAAGGAAAACAGAGCAAGTGTACGTTATGATGTGATGTGTCTGGTTATTCGTCAACCTAAAATCACAAATCGCCACAGGATTGATGCAGTCGGCGAGATTATGGCAGTGGATGATGCGATACTTTTACATAACACAGGCGATAGAGACGGAGAACAGGTGCCTATGGCAAGCCGACTGAACACTTAATAGTAGGCTATCTGGTTTTATGTCATTATCGCTTGTAATGTGTTATGTGTATGTTATTATAATCCTAAAATAACTAGGCTAGAATCTTTCTCAGTTTCACTAGTAGCCATCTGTTCACTTGAGACTTTTGCTGCGAATGCGATTCAATCCTTGTAATCAGTAGCTAAATATGTTTTCACGATTTGGCTGATATTTTACTAACTTGGTTCTGGCTAGTATGCATTTTTTTATTCATTATACTCAAGAGTTGCTAGTATAGCCTATATTCAAGCTTTACTTTTACTAGTACGTGCACTTACTCATCATATCTATTCAATGCTGCTTGTTTATGAGACAGAAAATGAGTTCCTAGAATTACGTAATATAGGCTATTACGGTCCCACTAAAATGTGATTGTAACAATAGGAATCTACTACACTAGTCTGTAATAACTATATGCTAATGTCTATTCAGTTACTTCCAAAATAAAATGGAACAGATAACTATATGAATACTTAACAACCAATGAAATAAACAAATACTTAAATTTGTTAAATAAGTTAAAATATTAGCCAAATTGTGTTGTGAATACATATTTTGTTACTGGTTACAGGGATTATGAATTGCAGCAAAAGTCTCAATTGAACAGATACTAGCGAAACTGAAAAAGATTCTAGTTCTTTTAGGATTATTTAATACTCATGAGTGAATGTTGGGGTCTGACCCACTGACTCCTGTGGAATATAGCCTACATGTCACCATATAAGTATTAGTGAATTATTTCAATAGATATTAGTCACTATAGATATAAGTACAAGTATATAATTAATAGCTACTTAAATTAAAAATATATATGAATATAGCTACTAGTCACTATTAGATTTCTAGAAATTTACATGCCGTTCAAAGAGTAGTGCTTTTAAATAATTGACGTTAGGAGCTCAGAAAAATCTTTTAGAATATTCTCAACCATTTTATATCTTGCTTTTTGTAAATAGTAATATGTTTGCATACAGTTTTTTGTTAGTTGTGTCAACAGAAAAAATCATACTGTAAGACTCATCAAGAATTTTGTGCCAGTAGTTGCAGAGTTGTTTTAAATTTCGTCTGAAATCTCAGAGGAATGTGCGGATGTTAATTACTGAGAGACCGTCAAACTCCTGATTATGAGAGATCTTAATTATCAGTAGTTGATGTGTAATAATGTATACAGTAAACTCTCTTTGTTAGAGGTTTCTGAATCCAATTAACCGATGGTCCTTAATACCAACTACTCCTTAAAGTCTACCTAAGCTCTTCTAAGCAGACATCTGCTTGAACATATCTATTTATATATCACTTTATCAAACACCCTCATTTCAGATTATGTAATACACCTGACATCCATACCATTGAGAGGATGAAGGTATGTGGCTGGCCAATATAATGGAGATCTGTGGATTAATTGACCACATGTAGCAGGCCATCTGTTTACTGAAAAGCATCCATCTGCTGTGTGATGATTCATCAACCAGCTTCTTAACGCTTATTAAAGACATCTCTGAAACCCACTATGAATCACAGACAATAAGCCCTGTACGTACTATGAGGCTAAATCAGTAGGTGTTGAAAAACAGGTTTGTTTTTATGTGAAATACATATTCATGAGTTATGGATCGGAATGCATAAGCAATTTTATTCTAGGGACACATAAAGGTGTATTACATTGTCACTCTCATTAAAACAGGGACCACCGTAGACCATGGCAACAGGTTGTCATGACAACAAACTTTATACTTTTTAACAAGCATGATGTGCTGGGATATTGCATAAATAGTGCACAATGTTTAGTGTAAACATTGGTTTGGTGTTAGATGAAGTCTAAGATTTGTTTGAAGAGACATGAGCCTTCTTGTCAAGTTCACCCACCGGATGGATTTGATTACAGCCTTAGGACAGAATGAAGCAAAGATGTATGTGTAGTCTTTTGTACTCGCTCTTCAAGCTTCTTAACCAGGGAGGGATTACATAGGACCCTTCTAGAGGATTTTAATTAAAATGTGACCAACCATTGCAATCTGATCTGTGCATGCACGAATGTATAGGAATAAGAGAGGTGTACAAAGGGAATGTGGGTATGTTGATGGATAAGTGAAGGCAACTGATTGTGTAGTTGATTATTCCATTCATAATTGTTTTTTTAAGGGTTCAATGTACAATATTCAGTAATGATGAGCATTTCAAGAATTGATTTGAGCATTTCTTGACTGGATTATTGGCGTCCTCATTCAGATATGATTGACCGTTTATAAGGAGTGTCAAGCTTTAGCCTGGTGTAATAGGCTGCGTGAGATAGATTGATTCCTGAAGTGGAAAGAAGAGGAATGGTGGCAAACGCTTAAGTTTAGGGACGGCAGATAGGATGGGAGTGGGGACTATAGAGAGAAAACACAGCGAGATCCATATATACCCCATCACCATTTCAGTGATGTCTTTAAGTTTCTTTTGGGGTCCCCCTCCTGTTTTTGGATATTTCCTCTTAAATATTTATTTTTTGGCATCTTGTTGCAACATGTTTTTGTATTTTTGCAACGCTCTGCACAATGGTCGGATTAACGCTGTTTACTGTCGTAGCAATCTTTTTCCAAATAAAACATTTCTTCTTGTTACTACTTCCTGCACTAAATTTCCAAAGTAAAATGTCCTTGTTACTGTTATACTTTTATGCTGGGGTAAACGGCAATGAGCAGTTCAATGCGCTTACTCGATCCGCCATGTTTTTGTTTTGAAAAGTGTCTTATTTTACCCAGAAAGCATTGCAGTGTAGTCCTACTTAAGATAGTCAGAGTCTTAAGTGCTTTGTGCGATGGTCTGATTTAGATGTCTGTCTGAAGTCTGACTATCTTCTTTATCTGAGCCATAGTCAAATTCTCTCTTTGTGAAACCTACCAGCCCCTTATTAAGCCCTTCAAAAGGTAAAATAAACCCCCAGAAGTTGGCCTCGAGATTTCACGTAGTGAAACTGCGCAAAGCTTCTAGATTGTACGTCACACGCATCACACATGTGACCAGTGTCGGCCAATAGTGAGCCTACAACACAGAACCGTTGCGCAGTTCCACTATGTGAAATCTCAAGGTCAACAGAGAAGGAAATAAATAGTTGAATAAAGTCGTTATTTTTGTTTGTTTTTTTGTGCACAAAAGTATTCGCGTTGCTTGATAAATTTAAGATTGAGCCATTGTAGTCACTCGGACTATTTTAACAATGTCTTTAAAGGGGTCATGAACTGGCTTTTTAAACTTTATTATATTGTTGTCTGAGGTAAATTTATGACGTTCGCTTGGTTTTTGCATTCAAAAACATCAAAATGAATAAGTAATAGGTTATTTTCTACCCTAGTTTTGAGCCCAGCTCAGAAACGCTCGGTTTTTATGGGCGCCTCGCACTGAAGACTTGGAAGTAAACGCCCATTGCTGTGAGTGGATAACAGTTTTGCATATTATAATGAGTTTCAACTCACCCGTCGATGTACTTGGGGGAAATTGTCCAGTGTTGAAATCCAGTGTTGTAAAATGGCAACCGGAATGATTCGCCCATACTTGCTCGACCCAGAGTCCGTGTGTTGCACAATTCCTGTCAGATCGGACGGACAATGTTTTACCTCATCAGCTGCAACATCATTAAAAATAAAGTTTATCCATGCAGTCCTATTGGAATCCAGAGGAAGCTTATGCAGCGACTGTCTTTTTCCACAACCAGGCACTGCACAATATTTTGTATTGCTCGGTAGCTCAATCCCGTTTGTCATCACAAGGTATGCCTATGTTATTTAGTCGGTGGGCGGGGCTAAACCGGCCGTGTTGAAGTAGGCGTTGATCTTCTTCTACGGGGGTGGTGTTTTATCCTCCTTGATGTCATAGTTCTCCACTTTGAAAAACAAGTCGTTTGCTAAGGCTGGTGTCAATAAAAGCTTTTATTGGACTAACAAGGACGTTTTCAGTTCTGAAACTTACAGGATATTCTTATAATATGATGACCTCTTAGATGTTAAAAGCTTAAGGAAAATTTGATTTCTCAGTTCATCACCCCTTTAATAACTTTTGGGCCGGCCAGTTTCGATCCCTTGAGAAGCCTATGGAGGAGTGATTCAGCTCTCAGATTTAATCAGAAATATCTTAATTTATGTTCCGAGGATGAACGAAAGTCTTACGGGGCTGGAACAACATGAGGGTGAGTAATTACTGACAGAATTTTCATTGTGGGGTGAACTAACTCTTTAACTGCACCGCGAAGGCCCTTGGGTCAACTTTCATGGAGCAGACATTGTAAACTCACTTTGCCAAACCTCAAGACTGCAAATATTATGATAAATCAGGAAAATTTTACTGCGTAAACAGGTGTTTAGGAAAGTGATGGTTTGTCTCAATGTATAAGTTCATTAGATAGCATTTGCCCCAGTTAAATTAAAGCTACACCTCTGTACCTGTGGCCATCACCTGCTACAGAGAATTTGTTGACCAGTGGTCCAACAAGAAGGTCATGTTAAAATAATCAAGCAAAAGGTCACATGTTTTATATAAAAGTAAGATACATTTGTGCGTTTATTTCTATGAAACTGACTTAAGGCATACAGCATGTCTCCTGACTGTGTGTGTGAGTGAGAGTGTGTG